CCTCACTGGCAGTCTGGACTGGATGAATTGAACCAGTTGATCCCTAAGAGAAATTTTTCCCATACGTTCTGATTCTTTCATTTTGAGAGATGATTTGGTGTATCTCCCTGCCATCCCCATCTCTCTCAGAGTGAGGGTGGTGATTGCTTGGAAATAGTAAGCTTCCTTTGTGAATTGTAATATTAGCATTTGTTGGGCATTTATTGTGTGCTAGGTACTCTTACAGTGAGCTGTTCATTTAACTGTTCCAGCAGCCATGTAACTATGACTTCAGTTTTACAGAGGAAGGTGAAGTTTAGAGGGACCCTGTGAGGAGCAGAGTAGGTAGGGACTCCACCCTAAGTCCATCCCATAGCAAAGTCCACGTGCTTAATGGGGCCCTCTGACTTTCCTAGGTGGTCTTTGAATGAGGGGGTGTTAGACACACTTGAAAATAGAGGCTCAAAGAATCTCGGGGTTAGACAGTCAAGGTCGTGTGGTCATCAAGCACTCCACTTTGCAGAGGAGCCGCCATCCCTACTCCAAGCATCCCAGTTAGTAATTCCTCTCTGCCCTGCCATTCCTTAGCACCCACCTTCTACCCCTCATTTCTCTTCATCCTTCATTAGCAGTAGTATCATTAGCTCCCTGCTTGACACTCAAAATAACCTTAAGTAATCCAAGTGAAAATAGTGGGTTTGCCATGCAGATAGTTGCCAGAAAAGCCCTCGAGTGTCCTCACGACCACCACATTCAGATTGCTTCTTGCACATAGCAATTTTGGTATGCTTCACTTTTATTTTATTTTATTTTTTTTGAGATGGAGTTTTGTTCTTGTCACCCAAGCTGGAGTGCAGTGGTGCGATCTCAGCTCACTGCAACCTCCGCCTCCCGGGTTCAAGCAATTCTCCTGCCTCAGCCTCCTGATTAGCTGGGAATACAGGTGCATGCCACCACGCCCGGCTAATTTTTTGTATTTTTAGTTACAGGCAGCGTTTCACCATGTTGGCCAGGCCAGTCTGAAACTCCTGACCTCAGGTAATCTGCCAGCCTCGGCCTCCCAAAGTGCTGGGATTACAGGCGTGGGCCACTGCACCCGGCCGGTATGCTTCATTTTTAACAAAGGCGTATGTGTATTTAAGAAGCCCCTGGACCTCCTGGAACTAGAATTACCAGAATTAGTACTGACTCCTGGCTATAGTCCTTTGGGACAGAAGGTGGTTTTCCTTCTCTTCCAGATACCCTTTAGGCTCTGGTTTGCCTTAGTTGAGGAAGAAGACCCTCCTAGGGACTCTGTGCCATCCTCCCTCCTACAGTCTGGGCCTCAGAGACCTGTGGGTGGATAAGCTGCTGGGCCCAGTCCATCAGTAGCTGTTTACTCAGAAAAACCAGGGAAGTGCCCTTAGATTACACTAAGAAGGTTTTTGACCCATTCCTCACCAGTAGACACATGGAAACCACTGGGCTTCATGGAATTTCTGGTGAGCTGTGGAGGAGCTTTGGCAAGGGAGTCAAGATTTATAGCTTCTCATCTTAGCTCTGCAGCTAGTCTTGAGGAAGTCCCTTCCCTTTTTCCGGCCTCAGTTCCCTATCTACAAATTGAGTGGATTGGAACTATGGTCCTGTCATTCTATAATTGTTTTCTTCTTTTTTTTTTTTTTGAGACGGAATTTCACTCGTGTTGCCCAGACTGGAGTGCAGTGGTGCAATCTCTGCCACCACAACCTCCTGCCTCCCGGGTTCAAGCGATTCTCCCACCTCAGCCTCCCAAGTAGCTGGAATTACAGGCATGCACCATCACACCTGGCTAATTTTGTAATTTTAGTGGAGACGGGGTTTCTCCATGTTGCTCAGGCTGGTTTTGAACTCCCGACTTCAGGTGATCTGCCCACCTCGGCCTCCCAAAGTGCTGGGATTACAGGTGTGAGCCACCATGCCCAGCTATAACTATTTCCTTGACCAAGTGAATGGTGTTTCCTGACTGGGCGTTGGGTCAGTGGCAGCAGGCATGCAGGTTTCAGAATGCAGGGGTAGAAGGAGGAGAATTATCCCCTGATTTGGTTGGGATGGTGCTAGACATGGGGATTGGTGCCGGTGCAAAGGATTGGTTTGTACTGGCAGCCATTATAGATGCCAGGCCCAGTTGAACCTGTATATTCTGTGTGTGCGTGTGTGTACCTGTGTGCACGTGTGCACACCTGCTCTAGTGGGTTACCTGGTGAGGGTTGGTGGCTGAGATGGATAATTGAAGTCATCAGAAAGCCTAGTCTTCTTTCTGGTCTCTTGCAGGGCCTGACAGCAGCTCATCTGAACCCTTCTGGGTTTCCTTGAAGCCCAATAGGATTTTAACAAATCTATGAATTTTAGATTTTAAAGGCAGAAGTGGCTCTTGCTTCCCAGTGGATTTTTCTGCCTTTCTGGGGGCTTTTTTCTACTTGTCAGGGGCAACCTGAAGCCCCACCTGGGAGCAGAGAAAGAATGGCACCATGGGTTTTCAGGACAGAGGAATCTGGGGATGGACCTTTTTCAACAAACTCACACAGGACTAATTTAAGAATATTCAGGCCGGGCGCGGTGGCTCAAGCCTGTAATCCCAGCACTTTGGGAGGCCGAGACGGGTGGATCACGAGGTCAGGAGATCGAGACCATCCTGGCTAACATGGTGAAACCCCGTCTCTACTAAAAAATACAAAAAACTAGCCGGGCGAGGTGGCGGGCACCTGTAGTCCCAGTTACTCGGGAGGCTGAGGCGGGAGAATGGCATGAACCCGCGAGGCGGAGCTTGCAGTGAGCTGAGATCCGGCCACTGCACTCCAGCCTGGGGGACAGAGCAAGACTCCGTCTCAAAAAAAAAAAAAAAAAAAAAAAAATTCATGTGTATGCTCAGACTGTATTCTCATCAGCTTGGGATTGGTGGTAGAGTAGGGAATTGGTGAGGTCTTTTCATGGCAGGAGGGCTCTCAAAACGTTGATTGGAGGCTGAGCTTTCTATACCGTCTCCTTTTGTGATCAAACAATAATCTGACTTTGCCTCGCCTTTTTAAGGAAAAGTCTTCAGGAATACCTTGCCCTCTGCACCTGATTCCTCTTTATAACATCCTGTTAGTGAAGTTGGTGGTGGTGGTACACAGGCCCTTTGGCCTGCTCTCCTGGTAGCAGGCACACAGTATTGCTGGGTACTGGGAGAAGTGATTACCAGCCATAGTGCAGGTATACACGAACCTGGTCCTGGTTTGAAGCAGACAAAGATTTTATCAGGGGACTAGATGGTATTAGGCTCATCCAGGCTAACCCAGAAGTTGCAGGAGTATGGGTGCAGAATGGCCCCTTGGGCCTAAGAACTCTATCTTCTTGGAATTGAGATTTTCTGGTTCACCATCGCCCTGCACTGGGGGTGTGGGATGCTGTTGGCTGGGTTCCACAGCTCCAGCTCTCTAAGGCACGTGGGATATCTTGAGGGGGTAGTGGCCCTGGTAGGGGGTGGAAGCCCATGTCTGTCTGTTGAAAAACTGAAGTCCCTGTAAATGTTATATTTAATTCCTGGTAGTCCTTACATGTCCTTCTAGAGTTTGTACTGTATGTGTGTGCATGTGCACATTTTTGTTTTACAAGAAGGGTTTTTTAAAAACTTCAGCCAGGCGTGGTGGCTCACGCCTGTAATCCCAGCACTTTGGGAGGCTGAGGCAGGCAGGTTACTTGAGGTCAGGCATTTGAGACTGGCCTGGCCAACATGGTGAAACCCATCTCTACTAAAAATACAAAAAGGAACCGGGCATGGTGGTGTGCACTTGTAGTCCCAGCTACTTGGGAGGCTGAGACAGGAGAATCGCTTGAACCTGGGAAGTGGAGGTTGTACTGAGCCGAGATGGCACCACTGCACTCCAGGCTGGGCGACAGAGCGAGACTCTGTCTCAAAACAAACACTTTTTTTTTTTTTTGGAGACAGAGTCTTGCTCCGTCACCCAGGCTGGAGTGCAATGGTGTGATCTCGGCTCACTGCAACCCCCGCCTCCTGGGTTCAAGTGATTCTCCTGCCTCAGCCTCCCAAGTAGCTGGGATTACAGGTGCCCAACACCACGCCCAGCTAATTGTTTGTATTTTTAATAGAGTAGAGACAGGGCTTCGCCATGTTGGCCAGGCTGGTCTCAAACTCCTGACCTCAGGTGATCCACCTGCTTTGGCCCCCCAAAGTGCTGGGATTACAGGCATGAGCCACCGCGCCTGGCCACAAACAAACTTTCCATTTGTTGTGTGTGTCTTTTTATATTAGTAGAGATCATTGTCTTTTTAATGACTTTTCTAAAAATGGATGAACTTTAGTCAGTCCCCTATTTTGGGGTATGTAGGTTGTTTTCCATTTTTTGCAGTTATAGATAATATTTTAGTAGGACATCTCTGTACATAACTCTTTATCCGATAAATTCTTAGAGGTAGGACTGTTGAGTCAAGTGGGAGTCCACTTTTTCGTTGGAAACTGAGAAGGCAGACAAAAATCATTCCTGAGCAGCTGGCCCTGGTGTGGTCCCTAGATTTCTTGATGGCTCACTTAGGGTTTTTACTTTGCCTTCCCAATGATCACTAGTCCTGGTCTGCTCACATCAGACTTCTAGAATATTAGGGCCACAAATGATCTTTCAGACATCTGCCATGATTCAGGAACCCTGAATTATAGTGCTGACTCTGGTGACATGGACTTCTTTCTCCAGGCCTCAATTTCTGTTAAAGAACTATTCTCTCTAAGGGCCTCCCACCTGAGTCTGGACTCCTGGGGTTTTGGCTGCTGGTTGCTGGCTACTGGCTCCTGGCTCTTTGCATGATCTTGCTTTCTATGACTTCTTTAGAAATGGGCTGGTAAAATTGTTACTGGTGTTTGAGCATATGTCTTTCCCCTCTCTACTGTGTCTTTCTCTTCTGGGAACTTGCAGGTTGCTTGGAGTGGGGACGATGATGAGGGTGAGGAGCTGGCAGTAGCCCTATCACATGGGCTTTGCATTACTAACTCTCCCTTCTTGTTCCCATAGAACACTCTGCTCCAGCCAAAGTGGTGAGGGCAGCTGTTCCTAAACAGCGCAAAGGCAGCAAGGTAAGGAATCAGAGTGGGCAACCCAAGGGGACTTTCTGGAGGTGGTGGCCTCTTTCCTGTTCTAGTGAATGCTCCTGGACTGCCAACAAGTTCTGGATTGTCTGTGAATTCCAGGGGAGCTCCTTCTGGGTATCCATTGTGAGTGGTCCTGGTGAACAGACTGATGTGGCCTCTGATCTCTTGGTGAAGCTTGGGTTGGGGGCTGAATAGCAAAGGCAGGGTCACTCCTGGGGCCCTCATAGTGTATGTTCCCTGCAGGTTGGTGACTTTGGAGATGCAATCAACTGGCCCACACCTGGAGAGATAGCCCACAAGAGTGTTCAGGTGAGTCTTTGTGGAAGGATAGGCAGGTTTGAACTCTGTTGACATACACACATTTAGCTCCTCAAGCTTCCAGAGAGCTTTAGCTCTAACCTTTCTCAGTTTTCTTTTTTTTTTCCCCCCCCGACAGAGTTTCACTCTTTTTGCCCAGGTTGGAGTGCAGTGGCATAATCTCAGCTCACTGTAACTTCCACCTCCTGGGTTCAAGTAATTCTCCTGCCTCAGCCTCCCAAGTAGCTGTGATTACAGGCACTCACCACCACGACTGGCTAGTTTTGTATTTTTTGCAGAGATAAGGTTTCACCATGTTGGCCAGGCTGGTATTGAACTCCTCACCTCAAGTGATCTGCCTGCCTCAGCCTCCCAAAGTGCTAGGATTACAGGTATGAGCCACCGTGCCTCCTGGCTTCTCAGTTTTCTTTTCTTTTTTTTGAGATGGAGTCTCGCTCAGTCACCAGGCTTGAGTGCAATGGTGTGATCTTAGCTCACTGCAACCTCCGCCTCCCAGGTTCAAACGATTCTCCCGCCTCAGCCTCCTGAGTAGCTGGGATTACAGGCACCTACCGTCATGCCTGGCTAATTCTTGTATTTTTTAGAGATGGGGTTTCACCATGTTGGCTAGGCTGGTCTTGAACTCCTGACCTCAGGTGTTCTGCCCACCTCGGCTTCCCAAAGTGCTGGGATTACAGGCGTAAGCCACAGTGCCCAGTCCGCCAGCCTCTCAGTTTTCTAAATGGAGTGGTTAATACAATCTGAGCAACATTGAAATAGCTAAGAACTGTCATCATTTGAACCTTTGCTTTGTGTCAGAGACTGCCAAGTACAGTTTTCCTTTGTTATACATGGCGGGGCTGGTGGCCGGTGTTGGTTCCGGGACCCCTGTGTATACCAAAATCTTTGCATACTCAAGTTCTGCAGTTGGCCCTGCAGGACCTACATATATGAAAAGTTGGCCTTCTGTGTATACAGGTTTCACATCCTGCTAATGCTGTATTTTTGATCTGCATTTGGTTTTTAAAAGTCCTGGATATAAGTGGACCCACACAGTTCAAAGCCATTTTATTCAATGGTCACCTGAATTGCCTGTTCGTCATCTCATCTAACCCTCACAGTGACTCTGAGATAGGTCCTTTTATAATTCCCATTTTACAGATGAAGCTGCTGAGACTTGCAGAGGTTAATTACTAGCCCTTGATGGCCAAGTGGGGATTGGAAGTCAGGTGTGTTGTATTATTCCCCAGCCTGTGTTCTCCATCACTACGCTTGGGTTTTCTGAGTGAAGTAGGAGAGTGGTCATTAGGCCAAGCACCGACCTCCAGACCACATGTCTTGGGGAAGCTTATAAAATTCTCTTGGGCCCTAGCAAAGAGAGGACTCCTAGTCAGTTCTCTTCTTCCCAGCACTTTTGTTCTGGGCCAGTGGCTTAGAGTCTTTACTCACTGGCTGTGGCCGCTTTTACTTCACAGACAGAGTTGTTGTTCATAGGCCAGAGGGCATCTCTTCCTTCCCACAGACGACCTAGACAACATGGCCCTACTGCAGGGAATAATTTTGCCCCCGTGAGCCTCAGCACTGCTGTCCTGAAGGTTGTCTCTGTCACTTAGACTTAGAAGCTGGAGAGATAAGTTGCCTTTCCACCTTCTGGCCTATTTGACCATGCTTCCCAGTGAAACCATCTCAGGTGTGAAAATGACCTTAGAATACATCCTGTCCAGCCTGCCATTGCATGCTGTGGCTCCTGCCTGCCTTTCTAGTGACAGGGAGTGCGTTCCCTCCTATACCATGAGGCACTCACACTCACCTCCCTGTTACTTTACTTCCTGCTGTAGCCACAGTCCCACAAGCCTCAGCCTGCTCGTAAACTGCCACCCAAGAAGGACATGAAGGAACAGGAGAAAGGAGAAGGGAGTGATAGTAAGGAGAGTCCAAAAACCAAATCGGACGAATCAGGGGAGGAAAAGAATGGAGATGAGGATTGCCAGCGAGGCGGACAGAAGAAGAAAGGTGAGTGACTGGGAGCAGATCTTGGGAGAAAGTGACAGGGTAGAACTGTGAAATGTTAGGACTCCAGGGGACTGCTGGAGGAGTTTTAGGTACCCCCTCTGAAAAGGCAGAGGGGAACTGATGGATGTAGGCTGGTGAGACAGCAGTCTTCAACCATCTGTCATTAATCAGTCCCTCCTCTCAAACACAAGAGTTTTCAAAAAACCTGCTGAAAATTTGGCTTCTCTAATGCTGATCTAGAGTAATCATGGTTTAAACGAGGTAAAACTTTCTTTGATGTAACAGCTTGCTGTAAATATGGCAGGCCTAGTATGGCAACTCCTGAATCCCTTCAGCTTGCTGTGGTACACTGGCTCTTCATATGATCACTGATGACTTCCTATTTCCTTCTCCTTCTAGCTAGGAGGAAAGGAAGAGGGAAGGATGGCCCCTTTCCTTTTAGGGACTCAACCTGGAGTTGGTTGCTTCAGCTTAACTCTCACAGGCAGTGTTTTGGCACCTGTGTATAGGGAGTCTGGAAAGCATGGTCTTCATTCTGGGCTGCCGTGTGTCTGACTCCTGAAGGGGATTCTGTGGCCATGGAGACATTGATCATAGGAGTTAACGAGGAGTCTCTAACACACTGAGGGCCACTGACCAGCTTATTTTAGAGATGAAAAAGAGGGCTAATGTGTGGGAAAGGGGTCTGCCCAAGGTAACCAGATTGTGATTTGGGCCCAAGTACAGGGCAGAAGAGGAGGAGTAGGTAGAGCTGGCTAGGAGTGGCCTCTCCCTCAAGCCTTTCTCATGTGCCCATGCTGTCTCCCAGGAAACAAACACAAGTGGGTTCCGTTACAAATAGACATGAAGCCTGAAGTACCCAGAGAGAAACTGGCTTCACGCCCCACTCGCCCGCCGGAACCTAGACACATACCTGCCAATCGCGGAGATATCAAAGGTATGCACTACCCACTATGGAGGGCCTGGACTTGGGAGACACCCTCAGGCCTGACCTGGTACCCCTCTCCCCATAGGGTCTGAGTCTGCCACCTACGTGCCCGTGGCCCCCCCCACCCCAGCCTGGCAACCAGAGATCAAACCGGAGCCTGCCTGGCACGACCAGGATGAGACATCGAGTGTGAAGAGTGATGGGGCTGGTGGGGCGCGGGCTTCCTTCCGTGGCCGTGGACGGGGGCGTGGTCGCGGCCGGGGACGCGGCCGGGGTGGCACTCGAAGTACGTGAGGCCCCTTTGGGCTCCGGGATGTCCAAGGGTGTGCAGCGGGGGTGGTGGGCAGGAATCTCCTCTCCCTCATGGCACCCATTTCCCCCATAGCCCATTTTGACTACCAGTTTGGCTACCGAAAGTTTGATGGTGTGGAGGGACCTCGTACGCCCAAGTACATGAACAACATCACCTACTACTTTGACAATGTCAGCAGCACCGAGCTTTACAGCGTGGATCAGGAATTGCTCAAAGACTACATCAAGCGCCAGATGTGAGTGCGCGGAAGCCTTCTTACCCTGGAGGAATGAGTGAGAGGTTAGGGGTTGCTAGAGTGTAGTAGCTGGGCAGGCCCTTCTGGTGCTTGGCAGCAGTTTCAGCCTCAGGCTGAAAAGATAGATTTTCTCATTGTTTATTACAGAAGTGGTACAACATTTACCTTAAGAAAATTAGAAACTACACCATTACAGAAAGGAAGGAAAATATTTAGAATCTACCCCCTTCTGTGCTTCCATTTGTAATGACAACATTGATAGAATACTAATGAACATTTATTGGATCCTTACTGTCGGCCAGCCTCAATGTTAAGTGTTTTAGAGGCATTGTCTTAGTCCTGTAATTCTTATCTGTTGAATTCCTGTGAGCTAAGTCTTTTAGCCCCAATTTATAGACAAGCATACTGGCCCAGTAATTTGCACAGAATCTCACAGCTAGTAAGTAACAAAGCACAGATTTAAATCCTTTTCTGTCCTTTTGTTCTTAACCACTCCGATATATTGTCTCTCAGTCCAGTAAGGAAGTCATATAAGAAAATAAATGGTTGTAATGGAGTGTTTGTAAGTGTTTTAGGAGCAGAAGGGAAAGTGACCAACAATATTTGGACTGGAATTTAAAGGAGGATGATGAGTTTGACAAGCATGCCAAGGGGCTTAGGGCAGAGGGAGTGATTTGACCCAAGCAAGGTAGGGTGCCATGAAGGGATCACATCATTTCTTTTCGGCCCTCAATACTGTTGGTATATAAGACAGCGATGGGCTAGGTCAGAGGCTGTGTGAGATCGCTGGGATGTGTAGCAGAAGAAGGAAGGCATGCTCATAAAACTGATGCAGCAATCCCTCGGTGATAACTGCTTCTTCCCTCCACTTAGTGAATACTACTTCAGCGTGGACAATTTAGAGCGAGACTTCTTCCTGCGAAGGAAAATGGATGCTGATGGTTTCCTACCCATCACCCTTATTGCTTCCTTCCACCGAGTGCAGGCCCTTACCACTGACATTTCACTCATCTTTGCGGTATGTCTTCCTCCCTGGAGCTGGGATGCAGGGGAAAGAAAGGTCCTTAGGGAGTTGGAGTTTGGGCCAAGGCAGAAAGCCCTGGAAGAGTCATGATCTGATGAAGTCTCAAGGCTTGGCTAGTCTCCTCCTCTCCCTCCTTCCTTCCTCTCTCTCTCGCTCATTATGGAAAATGTCAGACACTTACAAAAGTACAGTAGTATAATGAGCCCATCATCAGCTTCAGCAAGTATCAGTTTATGGCTAATCTTATTCCATCTGTACCCTCATCTGTTTAATCTCACATACTACATTGAAGAAAATCCTAGAAAACCTGGCATTTTGTTCACAAATATTTCAGTATAGATTTCTAAAAGATAGACTTGTTAAAATAGCCACGATATATCATTATACCTAAAAATATTAACAGTTCCTTAATATCATCAAATATTTAGTTCCGATTCACCCCAATTGGCTATATATATATATATATATGTTTTATATATAGTTTGTGAGAATCAGAATCCAAATAAGACCTATAGGCTGGGTGCAGTGGCTCACACCTAATAATGCCAGCACTTGGGGAGGCCAAGGGGAGGGTCATGTGAGCCCAGGAGTTCAAGATCAGCCTGGGTAACATAGCAGGACTCCGTCTCTACAAAAAACAAACAAGACCTGTGTATTGTCTTATTAAGTCTCCTCGTGTCTCTATTTTTCTTTTTCTTTGCTGTTTATTATTTGAATAGACTAAGTTATACATCCTGTAGAATTTTCCACAGGGCACAGGGGTGTCATTTTAACATGTTCATCTATACTCCAAGTTTTTTGTAAATTGGTGATCTAGAGGCCTGATGAGATTCACATTTTGAAGTTTTTTGCCCTCCTTTATCATAATGATGTATTTTCTCTCAGTTGGCACATAACATTTCATGTGATTGTCTCTTGTGATATAAGCTGCCAGCAGTGCCCTTAGGATTGCAAAATGACAACATACTGATTATATCAATCGGTCTTCATTTATTAGGTGGGATACCTCTTCAAGAAGTAACTTTGCCTCAACTGTTCAGTTACCAAGAGGTATAGTTTGTACAGGAAGGGCAGATTAATGTTTGATCTTCCTCCCTTTGTTAGCCATATTTATTTCGGTCCATTGCAGTTAAGGGATTGGATCAAATTGTCCCATCTTTGGTCAGTGGGACCCTCCACATTTCCTGCCCCAGATGTGGAACTGGCCACTTTTAAAAGGAACTCTGGGTCCTTTCTTTTGGGAAATGCTATTTAGATACCAGTCTGGGTTATAGGGGTGCTTTGTTGCTACTTGGTTGGTCATTCTTTCTAGATGATTTTTTTGTTTTTTTGGTGAGATAAAATACATTATGGGGTTATTCTGGTATTTTCTTTCTTTCTTTCTTTTTTTTGAGATGGAGTTTCACTGTTGTTGCCCAGGCTGGAGTGCAGTGGCACAGTGTCAGCTCACTGCAACCTCCACCTCCCGGGTTTAAGCAATTCTCCTGCCTCAACCTTCCAAGTAGCTGGTATTACAGGCATGCACCACCACGCCCAGGTTATTTTGTATTTCTCGTAGAGATGGGGTTTCACCATGTTGGCCAGGTGTCGAACTACTGACCTCCGGTGATCCACCCACCTCGGCCTCCCAAAGTGCTGGGATTACAGGTGGGAGCTACCGCGCCCGACCTATTCTGGTATTTTCTATTAAAGGGTCTTTACTTAACCTTGTGGGTGTTTTATTTTACCTACTCCTTTATCCCATGCCCATAATATTAATTCCTAATGATATCAACATAATTACTCATTTTGTTTTATTTCACAGTATGTCTACAGTCTTTTTTGTGGTCTTCCCCCCCCCCCTTTTTTAAAGAGATAGGGTCTTGCTCTCACAGGCTGGATTGCAGTGGTGTGATCATGGCTTACTGCAGCCTCAACTGCCTGAAATCAGGCAATCCTCTTGCCTCAGCCTCCTGAATAGCTGGGATTACAGGTGCACGCCACCATGCGTGGCTAATTTTTAAAGTTTTTGTAGAGATGGAGTCTTGCTGTGTTGTTACCCAAGCTGGTCTCAAATTCCTGGGCTTAAGCCATCCTCTCACTTCGGCTTCCAAAGTGTTGGGATTACAGGCGTGAGCCATTGTGCCAACCTCTACATTATTCTTAAAGTACCTCCACTACCACTGAAAACAGTTTTTCCACTTATACAGTCAAATAACTGTATCTTCAAGTCATTTGAAAGAATCTTTGTGTGGTTACACATTTAAATTTATATATATTCGTTTTATTTTGCTCCCAAGTTTTAGAGATTGTTTTCTCCCTACCCCTATAATTTTCTAAGTTGTTTTACTTTTGTGTAAAACATTTACATGGTTCTAGAGTTTCCGCATGGTATAGTCATAGAAGCCTGACTTAACTTCTGTCAGGCCGGGCATGGTGGCTCACTTCGGTAATCCCAGCACTTTGGGAGGCCGAGGTGGGTGGATCACAAGGTCAGGAGATCAAGACCATCCTGGCTAACACGGTGAAACCCCATCTCTACTAAAAATACAAAAAATTAGCCGGACGTGGTGGCGGGCACCTGTAGTCCCAGCTATTCCGGAGACTGAGGCAGGAGAATGGTGTGAACCTGGGAGGCAGGGCTTGCATTGAGCCGAGATCTCGCCACTGCACTCCAGCCTGGGTGACAGAGCAAAACTCCGTCTCAAAAAAAAAAAAAATTTCTGTCACATACACCCTTTCTTTTCTTATAGGCAAACTTTTTAGAACCTTTCCGTTTAAGAAAAAAGCAAATGCTTCTATATGTATTTGTATCCTTCTTCTTTCTTAGGTAAATGGAAATATACAGCACATGCATTTCTTCAATTCTTTTTTGTCTTCACTTAATATATCTGGGAGCTAACTGCAAAGTAGCAGTATCTAATAGAAAGATATTCCTCATTCCTGTGTACAGTTGCATAGTTCACCATTATGTGGAATGCTCCATGGTTTTTTCAACTGCTGCTCGTATAGATGGGTGTTTTGGTTGTTTTTTGGAGACTGGGTCTTGCTCTTTTGCCCAGGCTGGAGTTAGTACAGTGGTGTGATCAAAGCTCACTGCAGCCTCAACCACCCAGGCTTCCAAGTAGCTGGGACCACAGATATGTGCCAGCCACCATGCCCAGCTAATTTTCTTTTACTATTTGTAGTGATGGAGTCTCGCTATTTTGCTCAGGCTGGTCTTGAACTCCTTTGCTCAAGCGATGGTCCCACCTTGACCTCCCAAAATGTTGGGATTACAGGTGTGAGCCACTGTACCTAGCCTGCTTTTTTTTTTTTTTTTTTTTTTTTTTTTTGAGACGGAGTCTCGCTTGGTCGCCCAGGCTGGAGTGCAGTGGCCGGATCTCAGCTCACTGCAAGCTCCGCCTCCCGGGTTTATGCCATTCTCCCGCCTCAGCCTCCCGAGTAGCTGGGACTACAGGCACCCACCACCTCACCCAGCTAGTTTTTTGTATTTTTTAGTAGAGACGGGGTTTCACTTTGTTAGCCAGGATGGTCTCGATCTCCTGACCTCGTGATCCGCCCGTCTCGGCCTCCCAAAGTACTGGGATTACAGGCTTGAGCCACCGCGCCCGGCCTAGCCTGCTTTTTTGATTAATATTTTGTGAGTTTATCCACCTCAGCACGTGTAAAGTTGGTTGGCTTTTTTTTTTTTTTTTTTTTTTTTTTGAGGCAGAATCTCGCTCTGTCGCCTAGGCTGGAATGCAGTGGCGCCATCTCGACTCACTGCAACCTCCTCCTGGGTTCAAGCGATTCTCCTGCCTCAACCTCTTGAATAGCTGGGACTATAGGTGCATGCCACCACACCCAGCTAATTTTTGTATTTTTAGTAGAGATGAGGTTTCACCATGTTGGCCAGGATGTTCTCTATCTCTTGACCTTGTGATCCGCCCACCTTGGCCTCCCAAAGTGCAGGATTATAGATGTGAGCCACCGTGCCCGACCTGTGAAGTTTTTTAATGTCTGAGAAGTGTTCCATCAAATGCATATGCTGTGAATATTTAAATTGCCTATGGGATGGCAAGTTAGGTATTTTCCAGTTATTTTCCTACTCTAGTGTTACTGTGAATGGCTTTTTGTGCAAATATTATACATACTGCTGCCTGTTCGTGCAAGTGTTCTCTAGGGTAGATTACTGGAAGTAGGATTGCAGGCTCAAAGAGTAAAAGGGCAGGTGTATTTTTTATGCTGGTACCTCCTACAAGTTTGAACATCTCACATATCTACCAGTCGTGGAAGATGGTGCAAATTTTCTTATACCAAACTCAGGGGAACCCAGTTGTCCACCATTTCCAGGATCTTTCTGTCCGAGATTTTCTTCTTAATCCCTTGTTCCTCCTCCCCTGCAGGCCCTAAAAGACAGCAAGGTGGTGGAGATCGTTGATGAGAAAGTTCGTAGGAGGGAAGAACCAGAAAAGTGGCCTCTTCCTGGTCCCCCAATAGTGGATTATTCACAGACTGATTTCTCCCAGCTTCTCAACTGCCCTGAGTTTGTCCCCCGTCAGCACTACCAAAAGGAGACAGGTAGGTACCTGCTGGCATGAGGATTGCACTTGTCCTCTGGGCAACAGTCCTCCTCAGGGCTGGCAAAAGGAGGAGGACTGGAGGGATGAGGACTTCACCTTTCCACCCTTTAGAGTCAGCACCTGGCTCTCCTCGTGCAGTCACCCCAGTGCCAACCAAAACAGAAGAGGTCAGCAACCTAAAGACACTACCCAAGGGCTTGTCTGCCAGCCTGCCTGACCTGGATTCCGAGAACTGGATTGAAGTGAAGAAGAGGCCTCGGCCATCCCCAGCACGGCCCAAGGTGGGTGAGGCCTTGTCCTTTGCCTTGGTTTTAGCACTCTGAGCTAGGGTGCTTGAAGGGGATAACACATGGGCACAGCACTCTAGCTCTGAGGGGCCAGCAGGAAATCTCAGTAGTTCAGGATGATAGTGTGAGCTGAAGTTACCAGTAGTGGCTGCAGAAAGGTTGATTTGGCCTGTTTCCATTTCCTGTAGGGAACCATCCTTTAAGGCACCCTACTGTGTGAGTTCCTCAGTGACATTTTTCATAAGGGATCATGCAGCATCTGGCAGCGATGTTTCAGGCTTCTTGATTCTTGGCTCTTCTTTTTGCTCCATCTAAATTTCTGGGGCTACATTTTCAGTGTCTTTTCCCTGAGTATTTCCCCACTGTCACATATGTAAGCCCCTTAGGTCCTCAGAAGAAGGAAGGGAGAGGGAGCAGATGCATAGCCCAAATATGGAGTTAGTCTACACAGGTCTGCTGCACTAATGGCAAGGTGAGCTTGGGAAGCCTGTTTTATACCTCAGGGCTTCAGTTTCCCCATCTTCAGATGAAGAAGGAGAGGGTAGAATATTCTAGAAATAGTTTATATACATAAACAGATGAAGTTGACTGTTAAAGAAGTATTACAATCTCTAACTCAAATTACTACTTCCTTTTTAAGTGCTGAATTTTTCTCCACATACCTGCTCACCCTCACACACTTTGGTTGGAGACCTCTGGCCTGGGGCTTGTGAGGAGACTTCAGAATTGACCTGGAACTTTGGGTCTATGGAATTCTATACTCCCTTAGCTATTTTCCCACAGTGACTACCTCTCATCTCCTTTCTCTCGCCTGCCTGTTCATACGCAGAATTGCCCACAGTTGCGGCTTCAGCCCTTAAAAAGTGTTGGAGATCCAGCCAGAGACATGAGGAGAAAGGTAGTAAGTGGATAAGGGTCTTACAAAGTCCAGGCCTACAAAGTTTTCTTTGAAACAGGGGTCAGACTTAGTTCCCATTCCAGAATTAGAGCCACTACTCCGACCTGGTCTATCTTAAACCTTAAAAAAATATAGGTTTAGATTTTTTGTAGGAAGCCCTTGGCACAGCAGGGAATCTACTTTTGAATAAATACTGTGAGTTTAGACAAATGCTTCTCTCTCAGCATCTCATATTCAGTCTATCAAAACAAATAGTTTCTCTTTGCTGAAGGCACCTTGTTTTTTCTTGCCTTTGGAACAATGGTGTTCTTTCTGCCTAGCATACTCTGTCCCTGTCTTCATCTGGCTTACTTATGTTCATCCTGTGGTAGTCACTTCTTGAAGGAGGCCTTCCCTAACCATTCTTAGTCACAGTTGACTAAGCTCCTTTCACTGTGTGCTTCCACAAACCTGTGTGTAGCCTTTACCATACCACAATGCACTTGGCTGTTTGGTTGACTTTCTCCCACTGAGCCCCCTAAGTAACAGGGACCTTGTCTTATTATTCTGCTTTTAGGTTTTTCATACAGAGCTTAGGGCTAATGGGTATTCCCTCATTTATTATATAATTGAACATCTGCTATTACCAGATCCCCATCTAGGTTCTGAGTATATAATGGAAAGCAAAGCAACTGTGGATCATGGAGCTTTCAGTTCATTGTGAGAGTTTGAGTAGATGGATAAAAGGATGAATCAACCCCATGAACTACTACTGTGTGTCCACTCCTAGGCTAGGTGCTATGTAGGATATAAAGGTAAATGAGAGCACAGTTCCTGCCTATAGAGAATTCATCATCTGGTTGTTTGTGCATGACTGTGATATGAGCTGTGAGTGGAGGAACCTGGACTTCTATGAGACATCCTTTATCATAGTCATAAAGCTGACTCCCAGGATGACACTTGTGACCTGCTGGTGTTACCGGGTCTTGAACAGTCTCATGCTGAGGGGCTGGAGCCTCCCTCTCATGGAATAGCTACAGAATCTGGGCCAAGGACCTCCGGTGATTCCTTTCCCCTTCGTCTGTCCTATTTTAGAAGTCAGAGGAGCCCAGATTTGCCCACCTGACCTCTCTGCCTCAGCAGCTGCCCTCCCAGCAGCTGATGTCCAAGGATCAGGATGAGCAAGAGGAACTGGATTTTCTGTTTGACGAGGAGATGGAGCAGATGGATGGGCGGAAGAACACCTTCACCGCCTGGTCTGATGAGGAATCGGACTATGAGATTGATGACAGGGATGTCAACAAGATCCTCATTGTCACCCAGACACCACATTACATGCGCCGGCACCCAGGGGGGGACCGCACAGGCAACCATACCTCGCGTGCTAAGATGAGCGCCGAGCTGGCCAAGGTCATTAATGATGGCCTCTTCTACTATGAGCAGGACCTGTGGGCTGAGAAGTTTGAACCTGAGTATTCCCAGATCAAGGTGAGGCTTGGACATAGCAGTGAGTGTGGAGCCTGGGGTGCCTGTAGTGTACAGAGAAGAGGAAGATTGATTAACTGTGCAACTTGAGGCAGGTCCTTATAATTCAGAGTCTCAGAATTTTTATATATGGGAAGGGGATGATGACTGGTATCTAGCGTGGGCATTAGGAGTGAGGGGTGATGTTTAAACACTGCAAACTCTTCAGGTGAGGAAGGGGTGATTATTATCCTACCTGCGGATCCATAGTTAATATTATGAAAGTTGGCTAGACCCTTTTGTGGGGAATAGAATAAGGGGTTAGATTGTTATTTCTAGTCTTAAATATTTAGGCGTCTAAAAATTTAGAAGCCTTTTAAGAAGCTTGTGTTGAGTATGGAAAATGGAGAAGAGATAGGTCTTTTGAAAAATTGCTGCTGCCTGGAAACAGTCAAAACATCTTTGTTGTAGGATTTTACAGAGTAGGTATGTTTGGTAGGTTATCCTAGGGTGAGCCTGTGTAACAAGTAGCAGTGCGTTTACTGGAAGTAAGGAGGAAGGAGAGTTGCCGAGCCACTGTGTGATAAAGCAGTAGCAGAAAGAGAGATGGGGAAACACTGGAGCTTTCAAGGGAGAGTCTGTAGTGAGTTCCTGAGGAACTCCTGTAAGCCTGACCTCAGTCTTACTGCAGGGAGGGCAGGGCAAGTACTGTCTTTTTCTGGGCTAGCACACTTGTGCCAAGGTACCTGGGGTGAGGAATGGTGACTGGGCAGCTGAGAGCCTGGGGACCAGAATTCCATGTATGTCGATGTGGGAGCTGCCCTCTCCAACTTCCTGCCAGTCTTGATTCCTTAAACAGGCTGGAACAGCTTCCTTACTTACATCTTTCCCCACCCATCTCATAACCTCTGCAGCAAGAAGTCGAGAACTTCAAAAAAGTCAATATGATCAGCCGGGAGCAGTTTGACACACTGACCCCTGAGCCCCCTGTGGATCCCAACCAGGAAGTTCCTCCTGGGCCACCTCGGTTCCAGCAAGGTGAGAAGCAGACACCTGAGATCCTGACATGGATGAGAGGGTCTGGGGCCCTTGGACTAGGGGCTATCCAGGGGTGGATGCTACAGGCCTTTCCTTGCTTCCTGACTCCTCTCTGTGCCACTGCAGTTCCCACGGATGCCCTGGCCAACAAGTTGTTTGGTGCTCCTGAGCCCTCCACCATCGCCCGCTCTCTACCAACCACTGTCCCAGAGTCACCAAACTACCGCAACGCCAGGACCCCCCGTACTCCCCGGACACCACAGCTCAAAGACTCAAGCCAGACATCACGGTTTTACCCAGTAGTGAAAGAAGGACGGACACTGGATGCCAAGGTGAGGCATTTCTGTCAGGCTGCTCAGAGTCTTGGGCCTTCTTGATTGCATTCCAGTGCTTTGCTTCTCTCCTTTGCCTTGTCTGAGCCAAGGAAGTGCCAAATCCTTTACCTGCTCTGTGTTCTGAGGCTGGTGGGCTTGTCTAGGATTAGGTGGCCACATCTGCAAAATATACTGGGTGTGGGAGTGGTGGCCCCATGTAGAAAGGCCTAAGGAGGATTGACCAGGTATGAGTCCTTGGGCAAATCACTTCATTCCCAAACCTTGATTTCTTCACCTGTTTGAAATAGGCATACCAGTTCCTAGCTCACCGCTGTGAACATTATAAGAGAATGAATATGAAAGTGCTATTGTAAAATGTGAGAGATCATGCCCATCTTAGTCCTACAAGTGCTTGATGCTCCTCAGAGTTGTAGGAGTACAAATAGTAACAAACCCTGGGCTAACCTTTGCAGATGCCTCGAAAAAGAAAGACAAGACACAGTTCAAACCCACCCTTGGAGAGCCATGTGGGCTGGGTGATGGATTCCCGTGAGCACAGGCCCCGTACTGCTTCCATCAGGTACCTGGGGCAGTGGGGGAAGAGTGATCAGGCTGCCTGTGGGATGGGTGGGCAAGCATGAAATTGACTAGACCAAGAAGATTGGTCTGAAAATTAAAGGGACCCTCATTTAAGAGATTTTCAAAAAAGCAGTGGTGTGGAAAGCTCAGCCCAGGACCTGGGAACGAGGTGGAAAGCTCAGCCCAGGACCTGGGAATGAGGTGGAGGCTTTTTTCCTAAAGAAGTGGTGTGGCAGTCCCATGAGACCATATTTTCATACATGCAGAGAGAAAATCTCTCTGAATTGGTTTCCAAGCCTGAGTGTCTACTTTCTACCTGAGGAAGGATAGCCAGGTAGTTGAATAAACAGATTTCTGGGAGTCTCTCTGAGCCTACTGTGTCTTGGGAGGCTACCTGAAAAGTTTTAAAAATTAAAAAAATATATATTTATTGGCCCCAACCTATATCTACTGACCCTGCTTCTTGGGGTAGGACCCATGCTCTTTATTTATTTATTTCAGTAAGTTGGCCCCAGTATGTGTTTCCTGTTTCCCAAAGCAAGCTTTGATAGCCACCTACCTATGCTCTCTACTCCCTGCAAAGATGACACAGACTGCAAATAGGCATGCTTTTGAAGAAAATAACAATTGATCTTTGAACAACGAAGGGCCTGGGGTGCCCACCCCGCACACAGTTGAAAATCTGTGTATAACTTTTCACTCTCCAAAAGCCTGCTGTTAACCAGAAGCCTTACCAATAACATATAGTGAATTAGCACGTTTTGCATATTATGCGTATTACATACTGTATTCTTACAATAAACTGAATAAAAAATGTTACTAAGAAAACCACAAGGGAACAACAGACACTGGGGCCTACTTGGGGGTGGGGAGAGGGAGGAGAGTGGGTGCAATTTACCTACGTAACAAACATACACATATACCTCTGAACCTAAAATAAAAGTTAAAGTCATAAGAGAAAATGTTTACTGTTCAGTCAGTGGAAGTGGAATCATCATAAAGGTCTTCATCCTCGTGGTCTTCACGTTGAGCAGGCTGAGAAGGAGGGGTTGGTCTTGCTGTCTCAAGAGTGGCAAAGGTGGAAGAAATCTGCGTATAAGTGGATCCATGCATTTCAAACCCATGTTGTTCAAGACTTCACTATATAGATGGGTTGACCCATGATGGCTCATTAAGGAAGGTTAAATGCTCAAAAGTTAATAAATGGTTAAAAGCTCAAGTTTTATCATTGGACACGTTTCTGCCATTAAATAGTCTTATGACCCTGGATGAGTCTCCTAATCTCTGTAAGCCTCAGTATCCTCTGTAAAACCCTCTGAGAGTTAATGCAGAGTTAATCAGTCCCATGGATATAAGTTAAAGACCTGTAACTGGGCCTCCTTGTTTGATACTCTGTGAGAGGATGGATCTTGGCTGACAGAACGAATCAGAGGGACCCCTCCTAACCTTATGGTGGGGCTGCTGTAGGGTACCTGGTGACAGTATTTTTTGTGGTTTCTGTAGCTCCAGCCCCTCAGAAGGGACGCCTACAGTTGGCAGCTATGGCTGTACCCCTCAGTCATTGCCCAAGTTCCAACATCCTTCCCATGAACTGCTCAAGGAAAATGGCTTCACACAACACGTCTACCATAAGTATCGTAGGCGCTGCCTTAATGGTAAGAAATGAGGGGGGCAGGGGACGATCCTCTGGGCCCCTTATTTAGACCCAGAGTGTAAGGGTTGGGGGATATGGGGATAGGTGACTTTTTTCTCTGACTTCAGAGCAAAAAAAGACGTGACATTATAGCGAGAAGGACTGAAGTTAGACTTGGGCCAGGTAGTTTTAAGCTGTAGGAAGCTAGGGGAATATGGCACTCACAACATTTGTGTTCCTTGATCTTCCTCTGTTATTAAAACTGTCAATTAAGTATTTCTGTATCTCTGACAAGATTACTGACTCAGCCATTGTCAGGTCTAGTCCACTGTCCATCACAAAAGGGTATGTAAGAGGTGGCATATGCTCTCTAGAACAAAGGTTGCCAAACTGTGGTTTGTGAGTCAAATCCAGCCAGTGTCTGTTTTCATATGGCTTTGGAGCTAAGGACAGTTTTTACATTTTTAAGGGGTTGTAAGAAAAAAAGATTTGTGACAGAGACTATATGTCATCTATAAAGCCTGAAATATTTGTTCTCTGTCCCTTTACAGAAGTAGTTTGCTGATCCCCCCCTGCAGATGATAGTGTAAGGAAAGAGCCTGTCTAGATGCTCTTGTCTGTCCCCCTCTTTTAGCATTCTGATTGGTTTTGTGCATCTTTACAGCCAACCTGTCTTGTCACCTGTAGTTACTAACTCATTCATCTCCTTTCATTCAACAAAACATGGCTGCTAAATTCTTGATTCATCCACTTCACTTCTCTCTTTCCTACTTTGTGTGTAATAACAGCTTTATTGTGATATAATTTACATATGATGCAACATACCTAAAGTATGCAATGTAATAGCTCTAAGTATATTCATATAGTTGTGTGCCCATCACCAGAATCAATTTTAGAACATTTTCATTACCCCCCAAAATGCTATGCCCCTTACCACTCATACTCATTATACATGCAAACTACTCCCCACCCCCAAAATCCTACCAGTCCTATGAAACTACTAATCTACTTTCTGCCTCTAAGGATTTGCCTATTCTGTACACTTCACATAAATTATACTGTATGTAGTCCTTTGTTACTGGCTTCTTCCCCTTAGTATATTTGGTATACTGACAAATACACAGCAAGGTTCATGTCATAGCATGCATCAGTACTTTATTCTTTTTATTGCCAAATTGTATTCCGTCATATGGATGTATCACATTTTGTGTATCCATTCATCAGTTGTTTGGCATTTGGGTTGTTTCTACTTTTTGTCTATTGTGAATAATGCTACTGGGCATATTCACACACAGGTTTCCTGTAGACATAGCTTCTCCTTTATTTTGGATGAAAGAGTATTATTTCTGGGTCATGGGATAACCATGTTTAACCCCTTGACAAAATTAAACACTGTTTTCCAAAGTGGAAATTTTGAAATTTTATATTGAAATATAAATTTTTATATTGAAACATAAAATTTTCATTTTATATTTCTAAAAGCAGTATGTGAGGCTTCTGGTTTTTCACATCCTTCCAACACTTGTTATTGTTTGTCTATTTTTATTTACTTTTATTAACATTTGTTTTTGAGACAGGATTTTGCTCTGTCACCCAGGCTGGAATGCAGTGACTCAATTATAGTTCACTGCAGTCTCGAATTACTGGACTCAAGCAATCCTCCTGCCTCAGCCTCCTGAGTAGCTGGGACTACAGGCATGTGCTACCATACCTATCTAATTACTGAAAGTTTACTGTAGAGACAGCGGTCTCACTATGTTGACCACGGTGGTCTTGAACTCCTGGCCTTACGCAGTCCTCCCTCAGCCTCACAAAGTGCTGGAATTACAGACGTGAGCAACCTTGCCCAGCCAAGATCTTTTTTTAACTGGATTGTTTTCGTAATTATTAAGTTGTAGGAATTCCTTTATCAGATACATAATTTGCAAATATTTTCTCTGATTCTATGGGTTATCTTTTCACTTTTTTGATGCGCAAAAATTTTTCATTTTAATGATACTCATTTTCTGTTTTGTTGCTCGTGCTTTTGGTGTTGCGTATTTTTTGATATTACTGTTATGTACTTGTGAATATTGTAGGACTCTTGAGGTAAATATTGGTAATGAGCCAAATACTGTTTGTTAGAATTTCCAGACAATTTGTTCATGCCTTGTCTTGTCTCGATGGCACTTGAAAGCAGTACCAGTTGAGGTGAAGAGCTAGACTGCCAGCCTGGTTCAGAAGCTGCTGCCACCTGCTTCTGGAAAAGTACAGGCCCAGCTCCCAGCATCAGGGCCTGTTGCAGAGTGGTTAGTGCTCAGTAAACATCTGCTGAATGACTGAGTGGCAGATGATGAGTGAGGGAATTTGGAAGTACAAGAGAAAGGACCAAGTCTTAAGTTCCAGAATCCTTTGTCCCTGAAGCAAGGGCAGCCTGAACCTGAGACATGTCTTTCCTCCTTTCCCATCAGAGCGGAAACGCTTGGGCATTGGCCAGTCTCAGGAGATGAACACACTCTTCCGCTTCTGGTCCTTCTTCCTCCGAGATCACTTCAACAAAAAGATGTATGAGGAGTTCAAGCAGCTGGCTCTGGAGGACGCCAAAGAAGGCTACAGGTGAGCAGGTTTGGGGTGGGGGACTTAGGCTGGTGCTTAGGGATGGTGTGGGATCCCTAGTTGGTCTGCTTCCAGAACTGTAGTTGGAAATTCCTTGCATGTGTATTTTCATTCATATACTTGATGAAAAATTTGTTTTTAAATGAGTAGTATATTCACATGGTTCAAATTTCAAACAGTTTAAAAGGTTATGTAATGAAGAGTCATCTCATCCCTGTCACCCACCCATCTGGTGTCTTTCCCCACAGGCAACCAGTATTAGAATCTTGTGGGTCCTTTATAAAGGACCCTGTGTAAGTAAGTAGATATCTGTGTAATCTTCCATGCCACTACCACTCCTTTTGTTTACATAAAAGCTGGCCTATGTTATAATATTTTCTACACCTTGCGTTTGTTTTTGTTTAATACTATATTTTGGAGATCATTCTATATCTGTACATAATTAACTTTTCTTGTTCTTTTTTTATAGGCTGTAACATGGTCTTATACTATATGGATGTACCATGATTTATTTAGTCAGTCTGCTATTAATAGATACTTAGGTTGTTTCCAATATTTTGCTATTAAAAAAACCTTAAGAGTCCTTTTTTCCTGGCTGGGTGGCTCATGCCTATAATCCCTGCGCTTTGGGAGGCCAAGGCAGAAGGATCACTTGAGCCCAGGCTGGGCTCAAGTGATCGTTCTGCCATAGCAAGACCCTGTATCTGTTAAATTAAAAAAAAAAAAAAAAAAGAAAAAAGACCTCCCCATGCCCCCACCCCTTCCCTGATTTTCAATGCAAAATGTGCTGTCTGTAAACTACTTGAAAAAAGACAAGTTTGGAAAAGCTGATGAAAACATCCATCATTCCAGAGACAGCAAGTGTTATTCTGCCATTAAGCTTCCTAGTTTCTTCTTGGCATATTTAATGTATTTAGCTCACCCTGTAAAGTTTGTGCTCTTCCAGACTTTGTATGCATGTGTAGTTGTATAATATACCTATTTGTTTACAAAAATGGACTCACGGGATCATTCTATGTCTAACATGCTCAAACGTGTCTTTTCCATTTGATAATATATTGTAGGCATTCTTCAGTATCCTTAAGTATACATTTATACTATTAATTTCTAATAGCTTTTATTACCCTATTGTATAGATTTACTATGATTTTTCTTAATTGCATCTCTCTTCGTTGACATTTGTATTCTGCTTAATAATGCTGCTGTAAACAGTTTTGTACATCTGTTAAGATCTAAATCTGGGCTGGGTGCGGTGGCTCATACCTTTAATCCCAGCACTTTGGGAGGGCGACGCAGGCGGATCACTCGAGGTCAGGAGTTTGGGACCAGCCTGGCCAACATGGTGAAGCGTCGTCTCTACTAAAAATACAAAAATTAGCTGGGTGTGGTGGCACATGCCTGTAGTCCCAGCTACATGGAAAGCTGAGCCAGGAGAATGGCTTGAACCTGGGAGGCAGAGGTTGCAGTGAGTCAAGATCGTGCCACTGCACTCTAGCCTGGGTGACTGAGCGATACTTTGTCTCAAAAAAACAAAAGATCTAAGTCTGCAGTTTTGGCCATTTCCTTGGCATGTATCTTTTTTTTGGAGACGAGTCTCGCTCTGTCGCCCAGGCTGGAGTACAGTGGCACAATCTTGGCTCACTGCAACCTCCGCCTCCCGGATTCAAGCGATTCTTCTGCCTCAGCCTCCCTAGTAGCTGAGATTATAGGCACCTACCACCACACCTGGCTAATTTTTGTATTTTAGTAGAGATGGGGTTTCACCATGTTGGCCGGGCTGGTCTCGAACTCTGGTCCTCAAGTGATCCGAGTGCCTTGGCCTCCCAAAGTGCTGGGATTATAGACGTGAGCCACTGTGCCTGGCTGCATGTGTTCCTTGAAGTGAAGTTTCTGAGTCAGATAAATGAACAGACCTACTAATTGGCATGGTTAAATGGCTTTGCAGAGTTCTTATACCAGGGATTGGCCAACAACTTCTGGAAAGAGTCAGTAAATACTTTAGGCTTTGTTGGCCATAAGGTCTTTGTCGTAACTACTCAACTCCGTTCACTCTGTAACTGTAGCAGAAAGCAACCACAGACAGTTCACTCTCTAACTGTAGCAGAAAGCAACCACAGACATTTCGTAAAAGAATAGGAGTAAACAAATGTCTGTGGCAGGGGGCTGTGTTCGTTAACCCCAGGAAAGCTCTGAACATTTTATGCTGGACCCACTTAGACTAGCATCCTTAAAGTGTATATACTGTTTTTTCAATACAGAAATAACACAATGTTTAAACTGTTTCATAGTTCCTCTGTTATAGAGGCACATTTCCCATTTTACAGATGAAGAAACTGTGCCCTGATTTCACTGACTTGTGTTCTACAGATATGGTTTGGAGTGCCTTTTTCGATACTACAGTTATGGCCTGGAAAAGAAGTTCCGGCTGGACATATTCAAGGATTTTCAGGAGGAAACGGTGAAGGACTATGAAGCTGGTAAGAGCCAGAGTTGGATCTGAGTGAGGCTTGGTTGTGTAGGCCTCCTCTTCCCCAGTTCTACCTGGGTCTTTCTGTGTATTACACAACACCTCCCTCTCCTCTGAGCGTCTTTATGCTCACCAGCTCAGCTTTTATGTACCTCTCCCTACAGGCCAACTGTATGGGCTGGAGAAGTTCTGGGCCTTCTTGAAATATTCCAAAGCCAAAAATTTGGACATTGACCCCAAACTGCAAGAATACCTCGGCAAATTCCGACGTCTTGAAGACTTCCGAGTAGATGTAAGTGAAACTCTTTCTCTCACCCTACTTGTCCTGGAAAGAAAACTGGACCAGGAATCAGGATACTTGGATTCTGGTCCAGCTGTGCCCCTAGCCAAGGAACCCCTCTCCCTGCTTCCCACAATTTGGGCTTTAGTTTTTTTCACCTTTAAAATGGAGAGTGGCCAATGAAGGCTAGTAGGAGATAGTTGTATGGTTGCTCCTGCTTCCCCCTTCTGTGGTACCATCATATAATGCTCTCTCTCCTGTGTCACCACCCTCCTTGCTATTGTGCCCAAGTTAGCCACTACTAGTTGGTCAGGATGGGTATCCAAGATACACACATTTGTTCTTTTTGGAAAAGGCCAATTCCAACCCCAGTTTATAAATAAATGCCCAGGTCTCTATGTACTTGGAGCAACACCTCAACGGTGACATCCAGTGGCAGGGCTGGGTTATTACTGCTGGGTATATCAAGGGAAGATGGAGTGATTTAATTGATTCAGCAGATACTGATTGGATGTCTCTGTGCTCAGTGCTTTGGAGATAAGGGAAAGAGACTCAGTTTTTCCTTCTGAGAGTTTATAATGTAGTAGAGATGTCTGTTTGTCTTATTCCCTTCAAACCTTTTAGCAAAAAGGCAAATGTAAGTAAATGACAATACTAGCCCTTACATTTTGTGTTAGTCTGTTCTCACTCTGCTAATAAAGACATACCCGAGACTGGCTAATTTATAAGAGAAAGAGGTTTAATTGACTCACAGTTCTGCAGGGCTGGGGAGGCCTCAGGAAACTTAAAATCTTGGCGAAAGGGGAAGCAAATACATCCTTCACATGGTGGCAGCAAGGAGAAGTGCAGAGCGAAGAGGGGTAAAAGCCCCCCCCCCCCTTTTTTTGAGATAGAGTCTTGCTCTCTCACCCAGGCTGGAGTACAGTGGCACGATCTCGGCTCACTGCAACCTCTGCCTCCTGGGTTCAAGTGATTCTCCTGCTTTAGCCTCCTGAGTAGCTGGAATTACAGGCGCACACCACCACGCCCGGCTAATTTTTTTATTTTTGGTAGAGATGGGGTTTCACCATGTTGGCCAGGCTGGTCTCGAACTCCTGACCTCATGATCCACCCACCTCAGCCTCCCAAAGTGCTGGGATTACAGGTGTGAGCCACTGCGCCCGGCCCAAAAGCCCCTTATAAAACCATCAGATCTTGTGAGAACTCACTCATTATTATGAGAACAAGATGGAGGAAACTGCCCCCATGATGCAATTATCTCCACCTGTTTTCTCACACAACATGTGGGGATTATGGGAACTACAATTCAAGATCTAGATTTGGGTGGAGACACAGCCAAACCATATCACATTTATTATTTTAAAACTGCCATTTATTGGGTGTTTATTATGTACCAGGTACTTTACATTGACCTTATTTAATTCTTATGTGGTGATGCAGACAGGACTTATTAGACAGGTTAACTGAGGTTTGTGGCCATCCAGTGACATAATGGCAGAACCACTCAGGTCTCTCAGTATAAAGACAAACCTGTTTTCTTTCATTCTTAAGCATTTCCACCCTTGGGGAGGAGAGGGAAGGGGAGCAGGGTACAAGTTACAAAGAACCCTTGTGATAAGTAGACCTATTAGGGTGGAACAAGGACTCAGTTTTGGTTACCAAAATGGGAAGGAAACATCTGTCTTCGGGGTTATAGGACCTTTGTTAGTGCTAAGGCCAGGCTAGAGCATGATCTGAGTCTTAGTTCAGGATCCTCTGGACATTGAAGAGAATGAGGTGATCCTCAGAAGGATCTGGGCCTTCTGAGCTGAGACATAGCAGCATACTGCATGCCACATTCCACATTTCTGAGCAAGAGATCCCTTCTTGGAAGGGAAGCAGAAATGAGGTTGGCTAAAAGCCTGGCCTTTTGGGGCAGATAGACCTAAATTTTATCTTTATCAGTTACCAACTGTGAGACCCTGGGGAAGTTACTTTTTCTGCTTCAGTTTTCTCATCTATAAAATTGGATGTCCATGGGTCCACATCAAAGGGTGATGCTGACTCCACGAGAGAATGTGCATAAAACAGCACAAGGTGTGGCATGGAGAAACACTTAATAACTGATCATTTATTTTTAAGGTTAAACCCATTCATTATCTATATTTGGAGGTAGAAAGTAGGAAGTGTCTAGACGGGCCTGGCAAGGAAGAGGGCGTAGATAGTGCCTCCGATCACCTGTGACTCCTTCCTCTGTTGCAGCCCCCCATGGGTGAGGAGGGCAACCACAAGCGACACTCAGTGGTAGCAGGAGGTGGCGGCGGTGAGGGCAGGAAGCGGTGCCCCTCCCAGTCTTCCAGCAGGTCTGCTGCCGTGATCAGCCAACCCCCTACACCACCCACCGGCCAGCCCGTCCGGGAAGATGCCAAATGGACAAGCCAGCACTCGAACACACAGACTTTGGGAAAGTGAAAAGCTCCTTAGCCCTGGGGCTTGAGGGGGGAAAGGGGTAGGGTGGGTAAGAGTCCATGGGAGTGCCCAGTCCCAGGAGAGGGGACAATGAAGGGACAGGCCTGGAGTTACTAGGACAGGCCTTTGTGCTGAGTAGCAATGTGTGCACCATTTGGGCTATCAGAGGTACCCTTGGGCAGGAGCCTCTACATCCCCTTCCCCCTCCTCTCTCCATGACTCTTGACATCCTAGCTTCTTCTAAGGGGGGAGGGAAAGGGGGGAAATTTTTATATATATATATACATATATATATATCAAGTTTTAAATTATTGATAGTTCATCTGGATTACCAAAATCACTCTGCAGCCCTGCCCGCGGCTAGTAGGCTGCAACCCTGGTCCCCACCCCTAACCTCCTCCTGCTCCCCCTCAAGCCAACTATGCAGCCCACAAGAAGGCCCTGCGGGCCCCCCATTGCCCAGCACTGTCCCATAGAAGGCTCTGGTGGTACCTCTGGGCCCCAGGAGCATCAGCCCCTTGATCATCTGGGGTTTGTCATCACCATGTTTTCTCCCTGCTGTCCCCACCCTGCCCTTCTGCCATCTTCTGGGAGAAGGAAACCAAAGGATCTAAAACTGGGGTTTGGGGGAAGGTTTCAGCCTCTCCTCACTCCCTTTGCCCCACACCCTTTACTCCCCAGCCCAGAGACGCTGCTTTTACCAGGAAAGACTATTGAAAGATGATTTATTTTATTTTTCTCTGACCTTTCCATCCTCGAGAAAATGGGGAAGAAAAAACAAAAAAAAGACAAAAATCAACCATAAAAGACCAAAAAAAAAAAAAAAAAAAAAATCAGATAAACCCCCACCTAATCCACAGAAAGTGATGTCTTTCCCCTCCCCTTGGAATTTTTGTTTTGTTTTTGGAAATAATATTTTTTTAAAAGTTGCCTTATTGTGGAGCGGGAATCTGAAATACCCAAATGCCTGTTTTCCTCGGTGGAGTCAACGCGAAGAGCTCCCACCTTCTCTGGATGTGCCTGGGCTTGGACTGGCTAGAATCTTTCTCTGGACTGTTGCATGTACAGTGCCTCCATCCTGGAGGCAAGAGAGTTGGGAGTGGCTCGAATCAGAGCCGTGCCCAAGATATCCCTGCTGTTGCATCGTTTGAAGCTGACGTCCTGTGTCTGTACACTGCTGCCACTGTTGTGTCCTCGCTCTGCTTGCTGTTGCCTCACGCCAGGCCCCGTCCTGCCGTGACACCCTTCATCCTACCCTTGGAACCCCAAGGCCAAGTTTGCTTCAAACTGTTGGAGAACAGAGTTGGCCTGCATCTGGAACACACTTGTCCTCAGCTTGACCGTCTCCCCACACCCCAGAGTGGAAAGGTGAACACCTGCAGCTGAGGCTTGGAAACATTTCTTGTGTTGCCCTGAAAAATCTGAGAGACCTCGGGGAGGCTCTGTCTCTCTTAAAAGGTGGAGAAAGATGCCATTCTCTTCCTAAGGTCTGGTGGAGTCTCCCCATCTTGCATACCCTTCTGCAAGCCATCTATCTCTGCTCACTCTCCAATTGACCCGCCTGGGAACAAGGGATGAGGAGGAGTTGGGGGCTGGGGGGAATCCTGCCAGTTGGTGAAGCCCTGTGGCAGGAAGGTATATGTGGACATAGAGTATACCTGATTCTCTTCTTCAGCCACTTGACTGTTTGGGTTGGGCTGTGAATGACAATGGAATGGCTGGAGTCTGCTGTTGTCAGAAGGCAGGGAGGGTGATGAAGGACTGACCCACATGGACTGGGATGTATGTCGGGTATGGGCATGACTGCACGCTCACTCTCGGTGGGATCTGGGCAACACGGAGGAGTTTATGGTCCTGTTGCTTACTTACTGCGATGTCTTTGGCCCTCCTTTTCAACTGGTTCCTCTGTTGGGCCCAAAGGTTGGGAGTAGGAGACAGTATCCCAGGCTGACAAGGCCTTGCCCTTTACCTTGGGCACCTTGTTAATTTTTAGCCTGTGCCCTTCCCCACCTTTGCCCTCCCAGTGGTTGGTATGTGGGAAGCCCATCTCAGTTCTGTGACTTCATGTCTCAAACCAAGGATGAGCGTCTGGTCTCTGCTATGATGGTGGTATCTGAGGCCTTTCCCTGCCCCGTCTGGTGCCTGCCCCACATTGTACCAGACACTGGATTCCTGGATCCCCTTCTCCTTTCCTTTCTTTCCTTCAGGTCACGCAGCCCTGTACTGTATCCAGCACCACAGAAACCTCAGTGTTTTTCGTCTGCTGGTTTGGGGCACAAGGAAGCCTTAGGGTATGGGGAAAGGCTGTTATTACTTAGAGTTTACTCCCAGGCCAGGGGGCTGCCATCTTTTTCACAGACATCCCTGAAAGGAAGCCCCTTTGGGGCAGGGAGGCGAGGACTTCATCTCAACATAGGCTGGTGGTTGGTAGGGGAGCTTTTTCTTTTTTTTCTTTTCTTTCCTTTTTTTTTTTTTTTTTTTAAGGTAACATGTTAGGAGTTAATGTTGCAAAGAGTAGTTTACATCTTCACTTTCTGAAGACACTTGAATTTAGGACCGATGTATCTGTGACAAGCACGCCAGAAGTGGCAGGGGCCATCAGGGCTAACCACTTAACACCCACCATCCTCCCATGGGGATCCAAGACCTGAGATAAAGCAACAGCCTGCCCAGATCCCTCTGTTCTGTTCATCCTATCCCTTCCAAGGTTGGTCCATGCCAACATAACCTCTGGGCATCAGACATCAGCAGGTCTGTGTGCCTCAGCCCTGTTAAGGGGAAGGTTTCTCTTTCGCCCTCTTCCTGCACCTGGGAGCAAAGGCACTACCAGTAGAGATGGGCCATCCGGCCCTGCCCCAGCCTGGACCCCTGGGGCTCAGATAGAGGTGCTGAGCCCCTATGTCAAAGTTGTTAAATGTTTTTGTTTTGTTCCATTGTAGCTTTTTTTTTTTTTTTTTTTTTTCCCCTTTCCTGGTGATTGATTTTACAAAAGAAAGTAAGCTGCTTAGAAGGCCCTGGAAGGGAAGTGAGGAGGAGGGACAAGGAAGATGACTAGTTACGGAGGGTGAGGGTTGTTTTTTTGCCAAAAAAGCCTGGGTAGAGTGATCTGAATTATCTGGCACCCTCCTGAATGGAACCCCAGAGTACCTCCTGTGTGGAAGGGTCCCTGGATTTTCCCTAACACCCACCCTCTCCCCCTTCAGCCATGCTGATGGCAGAGAAGATAAGAACTTGGAGCCCATTTCTCACTGGAGAGGAAAACTTGTCATCTGGCTTTGCGGAGAAGGTTCCACCTTACGCTCGTAGTACATTATCTTTACTATGTGCTAGGATATCATATTTAAAAGGACAAAAAAATGTAAAATACTTGAATGAGCTTGTATTATAACATTAATATTATTGAGAGTATCTGCTTTCCAGGCTGAAGTGATTCATTCATTATTCTAGTCCTGCTTTAGTCCTTTGTAATTTGTGGTAATTATGCTTTTCTTTTTAATACAAAAAAAATGTATAAAAATAAACACTTGAAAAGGCAAAATACCGGCTGGTCTTCCATCTAGGGTACTGTTATTTGTTGTGAAGGATGGGTTTCTGGTAGGGTTCCCCCAGATCCGGAGGAACCCTGCACTTAGTGTGTACATGAAACCTCAGCAGGGGCTCTGTCATTGGGCTTTGAGGAGTCTGCCTAAGGCAGGGGCTTCTACAAGCCTTGAATTCATGTCCACCCTGTGTCTTAAGTGAGACGTGACAGTCATAGCCAGTGCCACAAAACAACAGTCCAGCATAATGCCAGGATTTCAGTGCACTTGTCAGCTTCCAAGTTTTCCATCCCCTGGTTGTGGCCTGCATTGTGTTGAGACGGCCAAGAAGAAAAAGGTTGATGAGGCTCCTTATGGAGGGTTGCCACAACCCCTCTATGAACAGACTTTTCCCCGGGGTGAAGGAGGAATGATCCAGCACCGTGTGGCCTTACGGAATCCTGGTCAGCCCCTGAACCCTGAGATGTGATGCTGGGGAGGGATGGAACAATGAGTCCCCCATTCCCTGTGTAAATTACAAAACTCGGGCATGGCTTTATGTGTTCATCTGACAACTGTCTCCCATACCTGACTTGGGACAATGGTTTTTCTAGAGAGTTCTTTTTCACTGTTCTTGAGGTGGGCAGGTGCTTCAGTACCACCAGTGACTTCCACAGGCCAAAGGAAAGTTTAGGAGATAGTGTCCAGGGCTGATGCAGACTGGTCCTTTGAGAACAGAAAGATGAATTAATTGAACCTTACTTTCACACATCATTAGGAATGCTCATGGAAGCTTAATTTTACAGCCTGAACTTCCATATGTTTTGTCTGAAGTATTAGAAGTCTGGTAGTAAACACCCCCATCTAAAAAAAAAAAAAATCCACCGGAATTCATGAAGACCAGTTTATTTTACATGCTTGCTTTCACGTTCTTTACTGGGAATTTAAGGCCTTTTTTCAGCCTTAACTTGTATACCAACCTCAAGGATTTTGTTTGATATAGAAAAGGACAGAGCTGGGCCCTTCTGCCAAGGACTGATCACCTGCCTGCCAAAAGGAAGAGGGAATGACAGCCTTTTGGCTTTCTAGGCCCCTTACAGTACCTCAAAATCTAAAGGCCTTAAAGGGAAAAAAAAGCATATCTGTTCTTTCTCCTTATCTCCTACCCTTCTCTTTAAGCATACTGAAGATGGACTTCTTTCCAAATGTTTATTTGTAGGAAGAGGTGATGGGTGCAGGCCAGCAGCTGAGAACTTACAGCTTTGATGCACCAGGAGTTGTATTCAAGCTGAGGGCACAAGCCTCCTAGGGAGGGAGCCAGGTCCACCAAGGCCAGAGACAGGCAGGCGAGACTGGAAAGCCAGGGAGATGCTGCCTGGTAAGTGCTTAGCTGGCCTATTGGGCAAGTCCTCTGGGGTTCTAGAGCTGATAGGAAGGAGGAGTTCATTTTGATAGTCCTGCCTGGAGACTTGGACCTATCTGATGATAAGGTATTTTATAAAGCTACAGTGGATGTTTTTCTTAAGAGAACTGAAAGTTGGAAAAGGTGCAAATATATATAAGAATTTAGTAAAATGATAATGATGGTCTTTCAAATCAAAGAGTGATCTTTAAATTGTTCTTGGGAACCACAGGGTTTCTGGCCATGTCTGGCAGCTGAGGGGAGGCCAGGATGGGGACTTCAACCCAAGCAGCTGTGGTTTTTGCTTTTGATAAGGTTCCTGGTAAAAATCATTTTGAATAAACGTTGCTGAGAAAGTGGTAAGCATTCGGGGCAGAAAGGATTTTGCCCTTTGCTCCGCCATGTTTTTCCAGGCTCTTTCTTCAGGGAGGAAGAGGGTTCTAACCTTTGGTCCTCATTCAGATGGGCTAATTGGGGGTCTCGGGTGTCCCCAAAGGGCAGCAATTTTGATCCTTCCCCTTGTGGGTAAAAGGGATTTTCACAGTTTCTCAGCAGTTGGTTTTTGGTTTCCACATAAGGCTAAAGGTGTTAAAGTTTGGTCTGTACCTCTTTGCTTTTAATCCAGGGAGGAGCTCCTGGATTTCCCCGCCCCCCCACAGAGGGAGACCTTTTGTTTGCAGTGTGCCGGAGTTAAAATGGGGCCTTTACCACTCCCTCAGTGTTTGGTGTGTGTATGTTTGTGTGTGTGTTGGGTGAAGTGGCGACTGGCATCTGGTATTCCGTGAATTGAGACCTATAACGGTTTGCCAGGGTGTCTTGGCCCTCGCCTGAGGTATGTGAAAGCCTTTTGGGGCAGGAAGGGGTAAAGCAATACCTGGCCCTCCCACCCCCTCGTCCCAGAAGAAGCTCTCCCTGGAGCCAGGCAGCCTCCAGTCCCCCTCCTTTCAGCTTTGTCATTTTCTGCATCCTGCCCAGGCCACAAAGGAGTTATCTGGGGCTGAACCCCTCTCCTTCCACAGCAGAGGACCAGGGGTCTCCTCCCTCTGACCAGCCTCCAGTCTGGGGAGCTGTGTTTTCCTTTTTCTTAAGCTAACTCCTGATCCCATTGAGGGACATCAAGGGCAGTAGTTTGGAGGAAGCCTCATCCTTAGCCCTGCTTTTCTGGGAAGCCCACCTTCCCTCTACCCTGGTGGCACCATCATTTGGGAGTGTGGCTGAAGGAGGCAAATTGTTAGGAGCAATCAGGAAGCCGCATCTGTATCCCATGGCTGAGGGACAGCCAGGATGACACTTGGGCTCTCTCTCAGTCCATCCTCTTTGGGGAGTCTGGGATGCTCTCAGAGAGCGGGGTGAAGCCCAGCAGGAGGACATGTCTCTCGTAGGCCTTGGTCTGCTTGAACATGATGTCAGTCCCATGGAGGTGGTCCAGCACACCCAGCACACCATAGCACTGGTTGAACCTAGAAGAAAGAAGATGGTGCTGCAGTGCCAATGCCGGAGGCCTCTGTGCAGATCCCATTTCATCTGTGCCAGCCTCACACATTTCTCAGCCCTCCTACCCCACACCTGTCACCACCATCCTGACCGTCTGCATCAGAATAAACTGGGGAGTTGCTACAAATGCACCTTCGTGGGGGGCACTCCAAACCTGCAATTTGCAGTATCTGCAGTCTTCCTTTGAAAAGCTTGCTGTATGATTCTGATGCCCACTGTCTGAGGATCTCTAGCAGAACTAGGCTTCTTCGGGCATGAGATCACCAGCATCAAAATCCCCTGGAACACTTACTAAAATGCAGGTGTCCAGGCCCTGCTCCCCCAGATACCTTAGTTCAGCATATTTGGAGTGGAATCCAAGAGCCTAAATGTTAAACAAGCATCTCAGGTGATTCTGGTATAGGAGGTTTGTAGACTACACTTGAAAAAGTCTGGGGCTTTCAGACAGTATATGACTTCCTTGTGATTGCATGCAGGAGTTTTATGCATATGTATACTTTTCTAAAGAGAATGTCCAGAGCTTTTTCAAAGGGCCCAGAGCCCAAATAAAGGTTTAAAATCCCCAGTTGGAGGAGGACCCAATTTCACATGGAAAAGAGGAAGGTCATCCCAGTGTGGTTATTATTTTCCCGACCATCAGACCTCTTCCCCAACTAGCACTCACGTATAAACTGAGACACCAGTGTCTGCTATCAGAAGCTTAAGGAGGAAGGGTGATCGTTATTGCCCAGGGACCCATTGTGGGGAGAGGGTCCTTACTTGAGATGGTGGTAGTCGTGGAATTCAGGCGAAGGCAGGAAAGGAAGGTGGTAGCCACAGTGGGAGATGGTGGTGATGATGAGGGCCAAGGAAAACCACATGGTGATGGAGGACAAGTGGGAGCCCATTACTAATGGGCCCACTATCGCAGGTAGCATGTTGGAGACCTGCAAGGGGAGGGATGATTGAAGGCAGGGCCCAGGGAGATGAAGGGACTTAGTTGGGTGTACACTTAGCCCCAAGGTGGTACCAGAGGCAAACTTCATTGACCCAGATCTGGAGAAGGTGAGAATTTCAGGACTTTGATTTGTTGAAGGCATTCACCTTTGTAACTTGGGACAAATTACGCAGTTTGAGCCTCAGTTTTCTTGTTAGCAAAATTAGGATTAAAAAGGTTGTTGGAGGAGCCAGGTGTGGTGGTTCATGCCTGTAATCCCAGCAATTTGGGAGGCAGAGGTGGGAGGATTGCTTGAGGCCAGAGGTTCCAGCCAGCCTGGGCAAAATAGCAGGATCCTGACTCTATAAAAAATTTAAAAATTAGCCAGATGTGGCCGGGCGCGGTGGCTCACTCCTATAATCCCAGAATTTTGGGAGGCCAAGGCAGGTGGATCACGAGGTCAGGAGTTTAAGACCAGCCTGACCAATGTGGTGAAACCCTGTCTCTACTAAAAATACAAAAATTAGCCAGGCGTGGTGGCACACGCCTGTAATCCCAGCTACTTGGCAGGCTGAGACAGGAGAATCGCTTGAACCCAGGAGGCGGGGGGTTGCAGTGAGCCGAGATCACACCATTGCACTCCAGCCTAGATGACACAGTGAGACTCTATCTAAAAAAAAAAAAAAAAAAAAAGGCCAGATGTAGTGGTATACACCTGTGGTCTCGGCTATTTGGAAGACTGAAGCTAAAGGATCACATGAGCCCAGGAGTTGGAGGCTGCAGTGAGCTATGGTCACACCATTGCACTCTAACCTGGGTGACAGAGCAAGACCCTGTCTCAAAAAGAAAAAAAAAAAGTTGTTGGGATGATTAAATGAGACAACTGTGTTAGGCACTTAACATAGCCTGGCATATGGAAGGCTGACAATAAATGGTAGCTATTTTTAAATGGGAAGTAAAAGGGCCGGTGTGGTCTAAGTTCTCTGCAGAAGAGCTTCAGGAAGGTGGTTAGGGCCGTCTGCCCTTTGCTATGGGGAGAGTAGAGCTCTACTCACCACATGCTCTATAGGATGGGCATAGAGAGAGATCACGCCAATGGGAGCTGTCCACTCATGGTGTTTCTTGTGGATTTTCTTGTAGAATGTTGGGTGGTGAAGGAGCCTGGGGAAATAGTTAATAGTTAATAACCTGCTGATTCCTCTTTCTCC